ATGAATTATCTACACTATATACAAAATTATTAACATCATTCTCTCAATATAAGATATTTCTAATATATATCTTATTCGATTTATTTACAATTACATGGATCAAAATGCTTATTCTAAACTTCCACGTAATTAGTTCAAAATTCAGAGGCGTTTCATTCAGCTACAGTTATTATTTTTTTGGGATGTGGAGCGACAAAGGAACGTTTCACTCGTCGACATCAAAACACTGCATTTTGCAACGCACAGTTTACAGTTACAAATGAAATCTACGAAAGTCTTTTGAGTGAGTGAATATTAACGTCGCACTTTTCAGCTAAATGAGGGCTTTTAGCGACGGACCTCGTCTTTTTGAACCATAGTCAAGTGACGAGGACGACACCTGAGCTGACATCTTCCTCTCCTGACTACCACACCGTACCAACGGGAGGACGTTTAGTTCCTCGACAGATTTAAAGTGCGTCGCTCATTTACACGGTGGGTCTTAACTTGTACTGGGCTCGAACTCATGACATTCCAGTCATGATCCGATACCTCAACCACTTGGCAACCACGAACCAATGTCTTAATGCTCGACTGCTAATCCCTAATGAGTGGCCGTGGTAGCCTAGTAGCCAAGAAAACGGACTCGTGGCCGGCGTGTCGTGAGTTCGAACCCAGTGCCCCTGAAGACCCGCCGTGTAGTGGGACCGATGACGTGTAAGGTTCAAACGTCCTCCCGTTGGTGTGGTGTGGAAGTTAGGAGTGTCATCCTCGACCCTTGAACATGGTTCAAAATGACGAGGTCCAAAATTGCCAAAAGCCCTCGTGTAGCTGAACAGTGCGGCGTTAATATTCACTCACTCACTAATCCCTAATGAATATCTGTTTATAAAAAGAGTGTTTTGGCTTAGGATCTCCCTGTGATTGTGATGTGGATGTTTGGATACCCTTAGCTCAAATAAAAAAGTCTGTTGCCAATAGCACATGTTTAATTCTAAAGCGACCAATCGATACAAATAAGTCAACTCCATTAGATTGTATGGATGCAGTAAGACAAAAACCTAATAACGCTTCATTTATTTATTAACTTAATATTTAAATCTGCAATATATACACAAAATTTCAGTCGAGCCGCGTGTTTGAGTCCTTTTTCCCCACTAAATACCCATTGTACAAAAAGGACAAGGCTCGGTTTGACGAGGCTCAAGAACCTAATTATCGACTACCTGCAGAAACTGGGTTGCCTACTCAAGTATCGAACACGTCATCAGATCATGGTTCATAATTATATGGTGTATTGGCTGTGGTTATAAGACCTTTGTGTTGGACAGAAACAAACTGCTAGAAGCTTTCAATGCTAAATACATATTCAAATGGGCTAAATTCATGACGGTCACGTGATAAATACAATCACATGTTCTCCATCGAATTCAAATCGGACGTTAAACTAATATTTATTGTTGTACTAGTAAAATTTAGATAAAATTTCAAATCTGATATCCAGTAAAGATGTTTAAATATTACGATTTTTAAATTCTCATATTATCCGGGCTATTTTTAAATCAAGTGCATTAAGTTTACCTATGCGTTATTGCAGACAAATATGTACTTCTTAAACGAAAGTTTCTTCAAAATACAAAAATTGGCAACAGTAAAGTACTTGAGCTGACTGATTAGAAACACATGTTACATTTATCATGACATTATCATAACGTCACATGAATTTATGTTGTGTTGTTACTAATACCACCTGTCTGACGATTTCATATAGAGGCCCACGAAATTACCGCGATAGGGCTGGATGTACGCCTGTCGTTAGCCGTACCTTTGAGCACCATACAGGTGAAAGATCCACCCCAAATTTTGAGGGGGACACTCCTCCCACCAACCTCACGAGAGGAATTGCGGCTCGATGGCTATTTAGAGTATCCCCATGCCTCAAAAGAACTGTACATTTATAAACATCCATGTCGCCTTCTCTGGAATTCGAGCCCAGGCCCTACGGCACAGCCGTCAGCGTTACTAACCACAATACCAGTTGGGTGACACGTGGATTTATTAGCTGATTGATTACAAACACGTGATTGTATTTATCATGTGACTATGACGTCTCATAAATTTACGAGCTGATTGGCTTGAAACACGTGATTGTAGCCAATGGTGTAACGGGAATATTAGCCTCCCCCCCGGCAAAATCAGATTTTGCCTTTAATATTTTATAAATTGGTTAAATACGTACTTGATATCAGTCAGGCTTTGGGCCTCCTGGAATCTTGCTCTCCCCCTCTTGAGTATTTGGGAATGTGTGTTACGCTATTAATTGCAGCTATCATGTGACTGTGACGTCACATGAACTTAATTCATTAAAAGGAAATCCATTTTTCTCACTCACACACGTTTTAGCTTCTTACGAGAGTTCATATAATATTAGCAAATAAGTTGATCTTATTCGTGACAAACGCACCGATGCACAAACGATGTTCGAATCCTATTGTTTTAAAGCAAACATACCAAGTAAAATTAAATAAATATTTATTCTAGCTGTCAAGATTTGCCATCATTGATCATTTGATTCCCATAGAAAAAAAGATGATACTGGAAATTTAATTAAGTTCATCCTTTTAAGAATACAGTTATTGAAGAACATTTCTGTGGCTCAAAAATTTCCGTCAATAATTTGATCAATCACGTAAAATTGGTAACATTCCCAGCAGAAGATTGATGACTTTCGTTCCGATCATCATATTCAAGATAGATGTTGGTAAATTACTGGTATTCACTATGATACGGAATTTCACCAGTAATTATTCATTACCTGACAGAACTAATTAAAATCAGAGATGTGTTATATGTTCGAGGTAAAATTGCTTGTACAGATTGATTGATGAAATTTAATTAACAATGATGATCCACTTAAGTAAATAAAGCTTAGAATTCCATATTTGAAAACAAAATGGACAAACTTGAATAACCGCATAGCAGACACATGCATCATGGCAGACACGTGCAGCTTTTCTCATAAACTTTCTTCGTATGGATAGACTTGGAAAGGCTTAGATCAGATATCTTTTTCGAAGATATTCGGAATCACTATTTTTCTGTAGCTTAAGATCTCATTCAAAAATCACGTACCAATAATTAATCACAGTGGGGGTCGATCATTTTTATAAAGAAACGTGAAAGAGATTATTTTATTTCCTGATTATTCTTTGGTTATAATATTGAAGTTAAACTCCAGCATATCTTAGTAGTGTAAATATCCCTATATCTTGTATAAAAACGAAAATGTTTGTCTAGAACACCCCTTGGGCATCGAGTTTCGCAAAATCCGTTTATAGTGGATCTCTACTCCATGAAAGAAGCATTTCTACCAAATATCAAGTCTAAATGTTGGTCTAATGATGAGGGAGGGAGTCGCTTTTCTCCTTCATATACGTAGAAGATTAGAAACAAGTATATTATTCGTTTCTTACATAATTACTACTCTTAACACAATACTTCTATCACGTATTATTGATCGTTAATGGAACGCTCTTGGGTTTGCAATATCTGTCCCACATCATCCCGGTGGCCGCGGTAGCCAAGTGGTCAAGGCTACCATGTCATTAGTTCGAGCCCAGTGCCACTAAAGACCCTCCGTTTAGGGGAGCGATGCTCATTAAATCTGTCAAGAGCTCAAACGTCCTCTCATTGGTGTGGTGGGGTAATTAGGAGGGGGTTTCCAGCTCAGGTGTCGTCCTCGTCACTTGACCATGGTTCAAAATTACGAGATCCGTCACCAAAAACCCTCCTGTGCGACGTTATTCACTCACTCCCCACACTCACACACCATCCAATCAACAGACTTCGTAATTTTAAACAGCAGATGACAGGGCTAACACCTGAGTCGGCATCCCACTCTCCACATTCACATCAAACCCATTGTGAGGGACGTTCCGAAAGTAACTTTCATCAATTTTTGAAATGGAAGACAATACACACTAAATAAAAATAAAAAAAATGCCGTAAAAACCACACCCATTGCTGGTTAAACGACGGAAAAAGAACCAGCGTAGGGGGAATGGCACATGGATAGTGCGCCGAAAAAGAAAAGAGATCAGCAGCAGACCGGCGAGCTCGAGGTTATTCGAGAACAAATTACGGTGTTTTCATAACATTTTCGTAATTTAACTGGCTGTTATCCTTTATGAATAGGCAGGTGGGGCTAGCATATCCATCATCCATGAACGCCTACTGACCGTGTATGGTAAAGAGGTTATAACAAGTCAAATTATTGATCTCTGGTGTTGCATGCGCAGAGAAGGAAGGCAGACTGTGAAGGATGAAAATAGAGAAGTGGGCCTATTTCCACATCCACGAATGAAAACACACACAACATTGTTCCATCGAACTTTCATCCGTTCCCTGCATTAAAAGTCGCATTCTCGGGACGTAACTTCCAAAACAATGCCGAATGGTGTGCGATAATTCTTTGCAACTTGAGGTTCCTTGTAGAGTGGTTTCTTCCAACTGATTGCACGCTACAACAAATGTCTCAATGTCGGGGGTGGCTTTGTCGAAAATAGTGCAAGATGCGTTGTGTTCATGATGACAGGATGCATATTTCTTAGCATGTTACAGCCTTATAAGATAAATTTTAAGAACATTTGCTATCAAAAAGACTTTTTTTGTCACTGGGAATTCTGATATCACCCAACAATAGTTTAAAGTCATAAATTCTTTTGTCTCATTGTTAGAATAACGGAATCTTAAATGAACCACACTTTTTCAATTCCTAATTTTTGTTCACTCTCTCACCCTATATAAATATTATTCAAAATTTTCAATCGTTAATAAAATACTCTTTCTATTCATCCATTCAAGTTCAAATACATTGTTTAAACTTGTAGTGGATGACACTTGATGATAATATACAGTTTTTTTAAATATTAATTCAGTAACTAAATTAAAAAATGAATAAATAGTAACAAATAAAAATAGTAGTCCAACAGCTCATATAGAAAGGGAAAATTTTTCATTGTGTCCCTCTAGTGCATTAGATAGCGCGTTGGACTTCTAATCCAAAGGTCGTGGGTTCAAATTCCACCTGGGATGGCCTAATTTCTAAAAATGTGATTTCTTTTTTCTTTTCTATTTTATTAGAATAATTAAATGAATAAACAGAAACAAACAAAAAAAGTCCAACACCCTATATAGAAAGGAGAATGGAAAATCGCAAGAAAAATAGCTTCCTTTTTTGTCAATTAATATTGTGATTCTGTCATATGTATATACATATTTGTATTAATTATAACTATTTAATAAAAAGTAACTAAAATAAGATTTTTCTTTGTTGACCTAAGTTGAAATAAACTTTAAAAAAATTTATATTATTTGTTAGAAACCATTTCTCAATTGGTTAATTATGAATTTTACGAAGGAAAAGTATTCCATAAGGTCATAGTCAAGTGGTTATGATCAGGGACTCGTGGTCGACTGTGTTTCCATCAAGCCACATGATTTCACAAAAAATCTATCGAATAAAAATGAGTTGATGTACATTAAATTTATTTGCCCTCAAAGTCCTCAAATTCCCGTAGATGTCGAAAGCGAGTTAACATTACAGTAAAACTAAAATTTTCTTTTTCATCAACATCGCACTCAAAAAAAGCTTGAGGTCAAGTGATGAAGTTGAAAAACCTGAGGAGGCACATCACTTTCTAAACTTCCATCCCACGCCAAAGGGAGTATTTTGAGCCTCGACAGACCCCAGGAACGCCTCCAGGATACCATGACTGGAACCCAAGACTCGACAACACCGTTCACACGTTTGTCACTATGACCGCTAGGCTACCACGATCACAAGTTCAAATTTAAGAGGCGCTTCAGTTGTAATTAGAGAGAGTTTGTATCGTGTGGATATAGACAACCCAAAGCATGTAATACACTAAATAAAGAGAGTTAGCAATAGAAATTACTGAGAGAAAATATAGACTATATATAAAATAGAAAATATAAAACAATACCTTTCTTTATTAAGAAACAGTTTATATTTTTTCCTATGTTGCCAGGACGTCTTAAGGCATGGGCCAACTAGGCCTAGGCCGGAAGGGGGGCCTCGTCTCATTCTCGCGACTCAGCCTTAATAAGATCATAATTAAAATGTCAACGGTCAAATGTTATTTCCGGTTATATTCTCCAAAAAACTGGTAATTTCGGACGATATCATGTGGTATGTATACATATTATGACTGTCGTCTACGTACAGGCCTAGGCCTACCATCATACACCATCGTTACTCATTCTCTCAGTCAAACAATATATATATATATATATAGCAAATACACATACAAACAATATATATATATATATATATATATTGTTTATATGTGTATTTGACAACATATGCTATATAGTGGTCCACTTTTAAGGATCATAAATGGGACTTACATTTGTGTAGGGGTGCAGGGCCTACTTCTGAGTAGGGGCCCAGGGCTTCAAGAAATCTAATGACGTTCCTGTTTGTTAACTAAAAGTTTCTGAATATATTTTCTGAAATAGTTAAAACCAGATTTAACTTTGCGTGTGTACTGCAAAGAAAACCTTGACTTATTTCGTTCACAATCGATAAAGATAGACCAGTTGTGCAATTTTGATGCATCCCTACAGTGAGCAAGTACTGTGACACGTATTTTCGGATACTACTGCCTCCATAAAACAATTTCAGTATTAATTTCGGCATAAAGGTCAGAAACAATAGAACTCCACCCATCCAAGAGATTGCTTTGAAATCCATTTCTTCACTTTCATTTTTACCTGTTCGGCGAAAAGTGCTAGAAAACGCGTCGATCCAAAGCGTATTGACCCCTCTACAGACTCCATTTTCAATGAATTTTTTTCTTTTTCGTTCCTTCCTCTTTCTTCGGCGTCTACGCGGAAAAAGAAGCCTAATTTTTTTGCTTCTAGAAACGAATCTGTATAAATGAGCATCGAAACAAGTGAAGCGCTTCATTCTCGTTTCAACCTCTCCACCGTTTGGTGGCAGTTCTTGGATAACTAACACAAAAATATCACTCAATTTCACCATGGTAAGATACATCTCTCTATATATATATATATTTGCATGCTATAATCTTTTAAGTATAAAAATTGTAATATAGCTGGTTGGAATTATGACTCAAAATTTGTAACTGATATATAATCAATTTTATTTTATTAAGGATTCCAATATTATATGACAAAAAATATCATTAATTTTGTCGTTTGTTTGAATGTATATGAGAGCTTAACTAAAAATTTTTAAGTTAGATTCTTATTTATAAATAAATATGAATTTAAATACAAATCTCGAATATTGGGACCCTAATGGAATATTTCAGTTATCTAAAATATTTGATGAATAAAAATCTAAGATTATGTGGGTCAAATTTTATATGTGTGCTGAAGAATATTACTAATGAAGCTTCACATTTAAATGGTCTTTAAATTACATAATAAAGGCAGGAGTTTAATTTCATATTGTGTGATAAAATACATTTAATAGACTTTTAAAAGAAATTATATAAAAAAAAAATTTAGGTTTACTCTGATATTATTTTGTAGACATCTGATTCAAAAATTCTAACGTTAATAGATTTCTTAACATGAACTATAGATTAATATGCATTTAAAATGTATTAATTATTTTTAATGCAATAATATTTTTTCAATAATTATTTGTATCCAAAATTTAAGGATATGTTTCAACCCATGCTGTTTTTAAACTTTTGTGCAGCGGTTTTATGCATATTTTACTAAAAAAAAAACACTAAAAATGAAAAAGTTTACCTTTTTTTTACTTGAATATAAGTTTTAACTTAAATTCTAAAACCTATTTAGGTTCGAAATTCATTTTTCAAGATTTTTTTAAATTTATCATTTATTTTATAATAAAACATTACAAAAAATAATTCTATTCATTCTAATAAATAATTTTAACTTTTTTCATTCACGTAAGAGAAATAAGTAATCACAAAAAAAAATACAAAATAATAAATCATAAATTCTACGATGCGCTGACAAAGTTTATTTTTCCTGATCTTAAATAGGGCGGAAAAATCACAGAAACTTAAGCAAGGATCTTCCAATGAATTATTTCTCCTTCGCAAAACAAATATTCTTAAATAACGTTACGGAAAATCCAAAGGATGTTAAAAGATTATTTTAGCAGTTTTTCTTCCTTTTTACATTTAAAATACAGATGTTTATAATAATTTCTTTCTTAAACAGATTCTAAGAAAATCTTTGTTATTTTACAAATTCCATTTCCTTATTTTTGATGAAACTTGAAACATTAACTTTTTTATATCCTCTGAGAATGGCAGACACGTCAATTTTTAAAGACGTTTTTTATTATTTTTTTTATTTGTTTAATATGCACTGCTATTTTTTCTATGTTCTATAAAACTAATTTTGAATCTCTTGATTCTTAATTTATTTATGTGAACTATATACCACTGGCTGACTTTAAACTCTTAGACTTAAAAAAGAGCATTGTTCTATCCATCAACATTCATTAAGTTATAGACAGAAAAAGACATGACTATTTCTGTTTTGTATTATTTACATCTGATATTACAGAGAGCTTCAAACTAATCGAGACAACCTCTTAAAATAAAATTTAAAAAAAACTTTGACTTAATAAGAAATAATGATATGTATATATATCGATTGAACCACTTCGAGAAGAACTTTTGCTCCGTTCAAAACACGTGATATCGGACGATTCCATTGTCTCCTTGTTAAATCAAGGAATAACATATTGTTTACTAGGTGCCACATATATTGAAGACACATTTTTCCATTTTACTAAAGACAAAAATTAATAAATTTTCATTATGCGTCAGATAAATAAAAATTATACTTTAATTATTTACAATGGTTTCATAATTACTCAGTTTTTTTTTTAATTTCGTGTCCTCCGTTTCTGATTCTGATGGAAAGAGTTGGCTTATCGAGGAGGTGGAATCACGGCTCTGATTATCGAGGTCAATTTATATTGCATTCTAAAAAGGTATGAAAAATTGTGTATATCACATGAACTGAAAAATTCGTTAACCGTTACAAGTTTTCCAAAAGTAATTTTTTAAAATTAGTACATTTTTCTTTAAAAACATCTTATTGTGGTATAGGAAAACAACAAAATAGATTGTAAATTCTTTTCTGGTTACTAAGTTTAATAAATTCTGAGGGCCGTTTTTATTTTTCATTCAAAAATAGATCAACAAATAAACCGCTAAGAAAATAGATCAACTAATGGACAGAAAACAAAATAAAGAAATTACATTAATCACACAAGAACACGCGATATCTCCTAAAGAGTATCTATGATAATGTCAGAATAACGTCAAAAAATATCATGACAGATACATCCAATGCGAAAGACAATATAACGAAACTATTTTTAACTATCAACCGTAATAGTTAGACGACATCAATTCTCTTATTTTATCTACTAGAGGTCTGCATGAACATTTACCGCCTTTTTATCAATCTTAAATGGGAAATTAATTTTAATCGGCCAAGTATTTTTCCTATTCTCCGAACATTTTCGATCAGGTAAAAGTCCTTTTAGAGGTTATCTATATTTTATTCTCGGTGATAAATTATGCAATTCAAGCTATAACAATGCGCAAGAGTTTGAAATTTTTGTTTAAGTTGCGATCCCATAAGAAAATGTAATTAATATGAATATAATGTTGCTGATAAAATAATTAATCAGCCGATTGTTACTCAAATAATTAAAACTGTTTATATAGTACTGTCAGTTAAAATTGCAACACCATAAAAGAAAAATGGTACAAACATCAAAAATTCACTTTAAAAAAAGATGCTAGAGTATGCAAATTATTAATATTTAAAGCAATTGAACGACGCAGGAAGGAGAAATAGCATATCAAATGTTGTAAAAAAGGAAAAATTAAGCAGGTTTACTCATTCAAAAATTGCATTTGAATGTTGGTTATTAGTGAGAAGATCGTCTTATGCATCACGTAAGAAAGAGATATGGCTACCAGCACGCGTCAGAATTCGATAGCGGCAGGATCGTTACCTATCGAGAGAATTGATTGTCATTC